TCAAGCAGGAATTCAAGTCAACCCAGCCTTCAAAATATATCTAGAATCTGACCCCTTCTCTCCATCTACACTACCACAACCCTGATCCATCTCTTGCCTGAATTATCTCAAGTCTCCTACTGGTCTCTCCACTGCTGCCCTTGTCCTTCATATTCTCAAGTTAGTAGCCAGAGTAGGTCCATTGAAAATATAAGTCATATCACGTTATTCTCTTCCTCAAAACTTCCCAATGCTTCTCATCTCACACTGGGCAAAAGTCCTACTGTGACCTGTAAGGTCCTATGTGATCTGCCATTCCCCTAAGGTCATCACATTACCTCTATGACCCTCCCCCCCACTACTTTCCCTTTTGTTCACTGTGCTTCAGCCACCCTGGCCTCTTGCTTTTGCTTGCATACTCCTCAGTGATGCTCTCACCTGAGGGTGTTTCCTGTTTGGAGTACTCTCCCACCAGGTAGCTACGTGGTCGATGGCTCACCTCTTTAAGGGCCCTATTCAAATGTCACCTTGCCATTTAAAATGCTACCTCTTTACCTCCATTCTCCTCTCTCCTTTTTCCGTTCTCTGCTTTACTGTTATGCATGGCACTTAGCATCATCTGACATACTTTATATTATATGCATTGTAAACTCCATGAGGACAAAAATTTTGGTCTGCTGTTTTTTTTTTTTTCCACTGCTGTATCCCCATTACCCGGCAGAACAGTACCTGGCATAGAACAGATAATCATTAAATACTTATTGAATTAATGAATAATGAAGAGAGACAGATTTCAAATTACTAAATCTAGAATATCCTTTTTGACATTCCAGACACTTTCAAGAGGGACAAAGTGATGGTCCTTTTGTATTTTAGCCATACAAATCCACCTCACCTTTCTCCTCCATTCCTTTGGTATTCCTGTTGATAGTCTGGCAACTGCTTTGAGCGCATCATACCACTAGAAACAAAGAAGAAAAGCTGTCAAAGTGATAATATTGACCTGGTTAAGCACTTTTCAACTTTTCCCCATCTTGATGTTCGTAGAGCATGATAAAATTTATACAGAACACTGGGGTAAACATTCAGAGCTTCCTTCAGCCAGATATGACTGGTCTAAGGGCTATGACTGCCCCAAGGTCTCCCACTTGGGTACCCTTAACACACCCGTGATCCAACTGCAGTACACACACAAAGGCTGGGAACTCTGAAATCAAAACATGTGTTACAGATTCGGAATAACAGCATTTGGTTTTTAAATTTTTTTTCACACTTGAACCATTAAAAGAAAGTGCAAAAATTTTCACTGCAAGTATAAATCCAAGTCACTTATAGCTTCACAAGTTATTTTATCTATAATTTTTAAAACTGACTCATCTTCTTAGGCATATCCAAGCACATATTAATTTTCCCACTTTGAGAATATACCCCAGTGTACCCTGTAGGTACCCCAAAATACAGGTATTTTCAAAACCAAAAATAAAATTACCTGCTGAAAACCATTTTGACCTAAAGATGGCTCAAGAGTGAACTTCAACTTTGTGTCAACTCCTAAAAGAAAAATACATAAATAACTGTTATTTGGGGAAAAAATACATTACATCAAAAATAAAAGTAAAACTTAACCTGATTTTACTGAGTCATCATAAAATTTTTAAAACATTTATTTTTACTAAATCGTAGTCAATTTTGTTAAAAGAAAAAGAATACTGATTATTAAGACAAAAATGTCCAATGGTAGCAGAATGAAGCTTATCACATAGAATGGTGGTTCCACCACTGGCTGGAGTAGTGCAAAAACAAAAAAATGACACCACAGGCTTGGAGTCATGCACACTTTAATTCACCTTTGGTTCCTAGAGTCAAACAAATTATTTAACCTGTCTCAGTCTCAATTCTTTATCCTTAAAATGAAGATAACGTCTATCTCAGTTAGTTGTTGCAATAATTAACTGTAAATCACTTAGCACAGTATAATTAATATTTATGAAACTTAGGAAGAGAATTCTCTACTTACAGAATTTGTTTTCTAGGACACTTGCATGGACTAAGTCTATTAAGGAAACTTCAGTGAAATATCAAAAGTTATAAAAATAATGTCACTGCCTTCCCACTTGTGGAATAATCCATTTTAGCAAGACTATTTGGCAATTTGCATGATTTTTAAATTCTGCCATGATAGACTTATTCATTAAAGATAAATTTATACATTTAATTATAGGCTCCAAGCTAAGAATATAACTGAACTCTAATCCCAAGTTATCTACAACTTTAAACTTCTTTGACTCAAATCCCTAATCTATGGAATAGAAGTATATAAATAGGAGAATATATAAAGATTATACGCTATATTCATATTGGGCTTTTTTATTATTGAGGTGAAATTCCATGACAATTTTTTTAACATCTTTATTGGAGTATAATTGCTTTACAATGGTGTGTTAGTTTCTGCTTTATAACAAAGTGAATCAGCTATACATATACATATATCCTCATATCTCTTCCCTCTTGCGTCTCCCTCCCTCTCACCCTCCCTATCCCACCCCTCTAGGTGGTCACAAAACACCGAGCTGATCTCCCTGTGCTATGCGGGTGTCTTTTAAAAAACATATATGGAGTCAAGAAGCCGAAAAGAGATGTGTCTGATTTGCCCAAGACCGTGACAGTATGAAGATGTCCTTCTTGGAGTCCTAGAAGAATACTGTGTATACGTGAGTTGGGTCCTAGATTTCTAAAGTCAAGCTGTGTGTGATAGAGAATCCCAGGCATCCAACCAATGCCCTGATCATTCTCTTCTGAGCTTCAGGGCCAAAACCATACTCTGCCTAGATAGATAAGATTTCCTTCTTTGAAGGTATATTAAGTACCCCGACGGTTTCCCAATTCTCTGAGATGGTTTAAATTAAGTCCTGCCTCAGTGCAGCACAATGATACAAAGACCACAAGAGTGCCTCCAGCTGGCGCGCATGATTTAAGACACGATAAAACGGACCTCTTTGTGAGGTTGCTGTCCAGACACAGGGTGCTGAATGGAGGAGCGTATAGTCATGACGTTTGCTTTATTATAACAAAGACCAGGAAATTCGGTCCCACGCTCCTATTTCAACCGACCTAAAAGCCTCGGATTCCTTGCATGTATGACCGAATATGCTCCCTTGACTTTTTTCATAAGTACCTGCTGGGCACGATGCCGATCGCCTTGCCGAGCTTGAAACCCCGCTGGGGTTAGTCAAAATCACAACTATTTTCTCACTATCAAAAATGAGTCACAGGATTTAACTGGAATTGATCGTTCGCTGCCTGCAGGCAAAAGCTGAAATCAGGTCATTTCCACCTCTTTTCTTCTAATTGAATGAGGGAGGGGAGAAGGTTCATGTTTCATCTGGTAAAATCACTGGCTGTTCCGGATTCAGAAATACAAAACACTTTTAACGTGGGAAGGAGGTTTCTTTTTTTAAGGCTAAAGGAAGACGGTGAATAACTACTACAGTCTCTGCAACTAGACACTTCCTTGGGGAGAAAAACAAAGAAACCACGAGGTTCGGAAAGGCAGCGACGTGTTCCACCCTTTGAGGCTCAGTGCCTCGACAGATTCTCCCCTGCAGCCTCAGGACAGCAGGTCCCCAAAGGCGCTGGGAGGCGGGATGGGGTGGGGCTGGGGGAGGACAAACCCACCTGGAAGCCAGCTGGTGCCACTCCAGGGACAAGTGTGCGCTACGCACGGGTACGAGTACAGCCAGCTCCCTCTGCGGCCACCCCGAGCCAGAAAGCCTTATGCCCAGGGGCCCGAGCGCCAGGGCCGGCCGCATAAAACCCTGCGGAGGGATGCCGGGTGGTGGAGCAAGCGCGGAGTTATGCACCCTGGAGAAGCAGGGATGTGTAAACACAGGCTGACAGCAGAAAGGGCCTAGCCTAGCCTAGCACAGCCAGGAGAACTCTCAGTCTTTACCTATAGAAAGAATCTCTACTTTGCAGGAGTGTTTCCTGCCCGCTCTCCACCCGGACACACAAATTAGAGGCTCCAAGTGAGACGATCCCGGCACTCACGAAGCAGGGACCCTCAAGAAAATGCACCCGATTTTTTCTTTCGCGGTCACTGCCTCCTCCTCTGACAACAAGCATCAGACCTGTGCCTTTCTCCTGCCTCACACACCTCTTTCAAGGTGTGGCTTCTTGTGGGTCCGAAGCACAACTGGTTGCTCGGCCTCTAATAGCCCGTATAGCCGCCAACACTTTCCCACCACTCGGAGAAGACCGAGCGCATCGCTCGCCAGCAGCTCCCAGCACAAGCAGGGCTGGACCGCACACAGGCCGTGGGATGGGGGCGCACGGGCAGCCGGCGGGAGCAGCCGGTCCTCCGCGCCGTGGGAGGCCGCTGCCCCCGCCCAGGCCTCGGTCCGCGCTCTTCCCTCCCAGGCCGACCCAGCCCCGCCTGCGTCCAGCCGCGGTACCCAGCACCGGGCGGCCGGCGGCTGTTCCCTGGCCTACGCGGAGTTCGGCTGAGGCAGAGGCACCAGCTCCGGGGGCGCCACGCTACTTTCCAGTGCCCCACCTGCCGCCCCGGGTCCTCACCCGGCTCCAGGGTGCAGAGCAGCCGGGGCGCGGTCCGGGAAATGCAGCTGCGTTTCTTGAGCACATTGCTCAGGATGGTGCCCACGCCGCCGCCGCCGCCGCTGCCGCCCTGCCGTTTCAGGCATCTCCCTCCGCGCCTAAGGGAGCCGGTCAGCTTGTCCTGCCGCATCCGAGAGCGCCGTGGACTCCCGTGCGGCTGCCGTCCGCCTGGGTCCTCGGTGTCCCGCCGGCGCAGCGGCTTCGCGCGCGTGGGGCTCGGCAAGACCGGTTAGTCAAGGGTCTCTCGAAAGCAGCAAGAGTGCTCGGGAGTCAAGGGACCCTGCGGGGCACCGCGGGAGCCGCCAAGCGTGGGGCGGCCGGCAGGGATCTGCAGTGCGGAGCCTGCAAGGCTGAGGCAGGAGAGGACTTGGGGCGGGGAGGAGGGCGGGAGCGAGCGAGCGAGCGCGCGGAGACGGAGGCAACGCTCCCGCCCCCAATCCCGGCATTACCGTGCGCAGGCGGGGCTGCCTTAGCTCCCGAGCGCCCCGCCAGCTCGCGGCACCTGCGCTGGGCAGCCGCAGAGACCCGGAGCCCAGGAGCGGGGGGCTGAGCAACTGTGCCCGGGGACCAGAAGCAGTGACAGATTTCCGTGCCTCTCCCAAGATCTGGGAGGTGCAGGAGGGAGCACCCAAGGGAGCGAGTCTCAGGTGCAGAACGCCAGCGAGATGCAAGTGCCCACCTCATCGGAGCAGCCTTTCAAGAGTCGGTCAACAGACCGCAGGAAGAATCTAGCAGCGCGGCGGGAACGTTGGTGGAAGGTGAAGCACCAGCTTCATCCCAAATTCTGTTAAACTCTTTTTCTTGGCATCTTAGAGAGGCACAGGAAGCACGTTAAAATTATTATTATATATTACTATTAATATATACTTTGTACATTAATTAAATCTATAATTATTATTATAAGAATGGTTGTTTCTTTTGGAAGAGTAGACTTCAAGATAAAAGTGTTCCATTAAAAGCAGGGTTGTTTTTTTTTAAGTGCTTCCCCTGTCTCTCCAGCCAGAGACTTCAGTAGGCAGAATGGTTAGTGATAATTACTTTTTTTTTTTTTTTTTTTTTTTTTTGCGGTATGCGGGCCTCTCACTGTTGTGGTCTCTCCCATTGCGGAACAACAGGCTCCGGACGCGCAGGCTCAGCGGCCATGGCTCACGGGCCCAGCCGCTCCGCGGCATGTGGGATCTTCCCGGACCGGGGCACGAACCCGTGTCCCCTGCATCGGCAGGCGGACTCTCAACCACTGCGCCACGAGGGAAGCCCGATAATTACTTTTTTAAAAAAATCATTCTTAAACTACGACATTATGACATTCACCAATGGATATTAATCATAAAGATGAGTAAGTCATAAGAAAGGAAAGCATATGGAGGGAAATACAAAGATATTTGTATATGCTAATATTTAGAGAAGGAACACCAGATGGATTAAAAACAACCAAAAAGTATTTATGTGGAAGGGAACAGTGTAGAAGAGAGAGGAATAAAAAACAGATTTCTCTAGATGTGCCTTATGTAGTTTTGACTCTGGAATAACATCTTTTTTATTTTTTTTTTATTTTTTTATTTTTTGTCATACGCAGGCCTCTCACTGTTGTGGCCTCTCCCGTTGCGGAGCACAGGCTCCAGACATGCAGGCTCAGCGGCCACAGCCCACTGGCCCAGCCGTTCAGCGGGATGTGGGATCTTCCCGGACCAGGGCACGAACCCATGTCCCCTGCATCGGCAGGCAGACTCTCAACCACTGTGCCACTAGGGAAGCCCTGGAATAACATCTTATATTAATAATATTAATAAATCAAGCAAAAAGAAAACCCTAAAATTTGAAAATGAATGGAAACAAATGAACCTAACTAGAAATCCTGTTGATGGCATAAGAACACAGAAAAAATGAGTAAGTTGTTTTAGAGTGTAGTGTTCTGCCTGTATATCAATGCTGGTATAGACTCCAAGGGCAAAAAGAGCTGCAAAGAAATCTTAAATGTCATTCAGTAGCATTACTGTTATTAATAATATTGGTGTTATTTCTTAATTCTTATGTACACTATAGGATAACCTAAATAAATAATTATGTTAACATCATAATCAGTCTGCTAATTTGGGGTGATTTTCAATGTTTCATTAAGTGATGTTGTGATGGATATTTTTGTTGACTAAGCTTTACTAGATTTTTGAACACCTAAAATGAATTTCCACAGTGGGGTTATTGGATCTAAAGGCATAATCATCTATATGACATATATTGCTAAATTAAATCTTAAACGATTATACCAGTTTAGCCTCTGATTGACACATTTTCATCCTCCATCTTCAACAGCTCTCAGTATTATCATTTAAACACTTGCTGCTTTGATAAAGAGAACTGTCATTTTGTTGTTTTTATTGGCATTTTTTATTAGTAGTGCAGTTGAACTTTTTTTGGTATGTTAACTAAGCAGTTATATGATATTTTCTGTGAATTTCTTACTCGAATATTAAAGTCTACATGTTTTCTTAATGAAAAAATAAATAAATATGTTAAGGTCAAAAGAAACCAAGAGGGCTTCCCTGGTGGCGCAGTGGTTGAGAGTCCGCCTGCCGATGCAGGGGACACGAGTTCGTGCCCCGGTCCGGGAAGATCCCACATGCCACGGAGCGGCTGGGCCCGTGAGCCATGGCCGCTGAGCCTGCGCGTCCGGAGCCTGGGCTCCGCAACGGGAGAGGCCACGACAGTGAGAGGCCCGCG